ATATATGTATATGTTTATGAAATTCATATACCTTGAATCTTAAAAGACATTAACAACACATCATGAATGGATCCTCTTGAAATCTTCTTTTTGATATGCAAGACCTTTGATCACTTGTCTTCATCAAAATTAGCTTAGAAGCTTGACTTCATAGTTGGTGTTAACATGCCACGAGGAAGCTGTAAAGTATTAGTCGATTCCTCCCAAAAGAAGATCGAAGCCAATAACATGAACGTGTTATATTTAGGGCAGTGCTAGAATTGTCAACGATATTGTAGATACCCAATTTTTCCCAATGTTCCTTCTTTTAGTTTTTAACTTTGTCAAGCCAGGAAATGTACTATTTGTTGGGAGTAGGTGGTGCAGATTGAAACACACGGTTAGGTTTAACCATGAAACAAAGGTCAAGAGGGCATTTTTTAAATGCAACATGCAAAGTGATTGAGTAACCATGGAAGAAACGAGCGACTTTCCCAACATTCGACCTCTTTGTAGGATAGGGTCCCAAGAAGGCACATAGTCTGTTTTTTATAGAGTAAGTGATGAGTACCTGCTTTGCCCAGATGTCAACCTTCTCCATTGACAATGGAGGCTCAGGAATGCAGTCTCTCACGTCCTCATCATTGTTTGGTAGGATTGTGAAAACTAATGGGTTATTGCCAATGGCAGATTTGGATTATAGCTTTTTGAGTGGAAACCATGGATACAAATTGTTTTTTTTTCTTTTGAAAAAGGATGAAAGGGTTTTCTGCACGAAGAAGGAAATTTTAAAGAAGCTGAGATGAGGAAGAAGAACAAAGGAATTGAAAAAAGGGTATTTATAAGCTTCTCATTGTATGGCATGAATCAGAAACACGACATTCGCGTATGGTTGATTGAAACATTTTTGGATTTATTAAGCACAACATTGATGTTAGTGGGAGCGGTTATAGCAAACATGCAAACCCATGACCTCTTAGGAAGTAGGAGTAATGATGAAATTCTAAGCGGATCATATGGAAAATGGCAATGCACCGTAAAGGAGGCAATGATGATGGTGACGTTAGCCGAAAGGAAGCGTAGTCAAAAATTACTATAAAAAATGTCACGTCTCTCTTGTCTGATTCAAAATTGAAACATGGCTTTTTGGGGGGCAATTTGTTATCCTTTATTTTTTTACTTAAGTATAATTGGAAAGTATTAATAGGACAACAATAAATGCGCTACGTAGAAAGTCAGAGGAAATAAAGTCAAAGAAGAGAAATTAAGCTGATACAAGGTCGAAGTCACATATAGTGATGACGGTTGAAGTAGTGGCCAATCGAAGGGCATTGTAAGAGTTCAGGGACTTAGTGAAATTGAGTATTATGCTATGTTGACTAAAGTTTAACTTCATCACTATAATGGGAACCATGCTGACTTGGATATTGCATATGGAAAGAACTACAGAGTATGCTTTCACAGAATGGTCGACCTAAAGGACTTTGACGTAGGAAGTCAGTTCCTAGTGAATAGTAAAAGTAGTTAAGATATTTTCAATGGTGTTAAAAGAGTGGGAGCTGGTTTATTATAGACGGTTACTCAAAAATATGTGGAGGTTCGACGGAAGAAACCGATGCATGGGATTGAAACGTATCATGATAGGGTTAGTCAACCGTTCTTAGGTATTTATTTTAGAGTAGTATATATATATATATATATATATATATATATATATATATATATATATATATATATATATATATATATATATATATATATATATATATATATATATATATATATATATATATATATATATATATATATATATATATATATATATATATATATATATATATATATATATGAACTCATATTTATTTTGCAAAGGGTCCGCAATTGTACTCATATTCTTTTAAACTCAAAGTATCTGCGTATTTGAGAAATGAGTGTGGAAAATGTACGTATGCGTTCCCCCATGGTTGTGATTACCCTGGTGATCATTGAGTGTCATTCTATCAATAATAGAAATTACGTCTTCGTAGCTCTTGGACATTGATGATCCCCAAAGTAGCATCCAACAATGTCTTGTGAAGCGATTGAAGTCCATTTCGGAAGATGTGCACTTGAGTTAATTCGTCAAAACCGTATCCTTTGCATTTTTGTAACATAGATTTAAACCTCTCCCAAGCTTCATTGAGAGATTCATTGCCACCTTGAGCAAACACCGATATCGTCGTCTTCGTTTCCATGAATCTATTGTGTGGAAAAAATCGTTCAAGAAACTTTTCTTCCAAAACATTTCAATTCGTTATTACCAAAGTTGATTGATCAAGATACCATTCCTTAGCCTTCCAGATTAAGGAATGCAAAAATAGTCTCTTAAACAAGGATTCCTCTTTAGCTTCAGGCGCTCCCATTACACCCGCAATTTCATAGAATTTGGTGAGATGTGTGAACAGATCCTCGTGGTCCATACCGAAAAAAGGATTTTGGTATAGAAGCGCAAGAATCACCATTTTCATCTCCGAATGCCTCCCATTGTGGGCATTTCTCGCAAACTGAGCATTATGCCTTGGATTGTTGGTACATGAAGTTGAAGTAGGAGGTGGTGGTGGAGGTGGATCTGCCATGATTGGCATAACAATTGGTGTGGATAAAGAAGATTCTCCTCGCTCTTGTCTTTCTCTAGCAAGTTTTCGTCTCCGCCTTGTTATGCTATTGAGTCTACGAGTAGTTCTTTCAATCTCTTGGTCAAAAAGAAGTTCTTCTGCAGGTACATTCCCTCGCATAAACAAATTCTGCACACTAGCTAAACAAATTAAAAAGCACAAGAGAATTGCAGAGGTAAGAGATTCACAATACAAAAATCTTAAAATCACTAAACTATTGCAATGCTTGCACTATCTTACTTAACAATCCCCGACAACGATACCATTTTGGTGAAAAGTATTTTAGGTGGGTGTTTTATCGTATCCACAGGAATTGTGCGCGAGATATATAGATGCTCACCGTTCAATAGTTTAACGTTCTAAGTAAAGAGTTTTCAAAGAGTTCTTGTTTTGTAACATAAGTTTGTTGCAAAGAGTAAATTAGGGCAAAGATGTTTTGTTTTAAGAAAAACATATCAAGATTAGATATCGTTAACCCCTTTCATATGTATCCTATTAATCAAGCATGTCAACTTAGTTTCGATCAATACAATCGCGTATCCTCGCGAATCCATTTATTTCTAAAGCGGTTCAATGGGTATTATTGTTTTTAATCATTAGATGATTTCTCGAAAGAGCAATCGCAACAATAAACATGAAGATCGATACAAAGCAAATATTAACTTCCAAATCTATGTCTAGGGTTTGTTTGTTAATAGATGAAGAAATTAGGTCAAGACTTAGAAAATCTATGTCTAAAGTGATTCAAACCATAAATACAACATTAAAAGCAAAGATCTTCATCATCTATTGATCATAAACCTTTTTCACATACAAAAGATCAAAAGAAATACATAATAGTCAGATTAATTATCTCAAATCTTGACAGGAAAGTGTTTAGTTACCCATCACCATGGTATCTTGATCAACAAGTAAGAAAAGAAGCTTTGCTAGTATCAAAGTCAAAGAATCGATGATTGATGCTCCAAAGATTTGATTTTCACTTCTCCTTTAGTTCCAAAGGTTTTTTTGACCTAAACAACCCTTTTTTCTTTCTAAAAATGCTTAAAAGTGTAAAGTAACAAGAATGGTTGAAAATATCTTCAAGAGAAGATATTTATAGCAAGTGCACAAAGTGCAGTAAGTGGCACCGCGCTAAGCGCCATCAGGAGTGCGCTAAACGCGGTCAGCAAAAACAGAGGCAATTTCCTAGAAAAGCGCGCTAAGCGCAGTAGCATGCCGCTTAGCGCGGTTAGAGGCTTTAGCTACTGCCTCAATAGAAAGAGCGCGCTGAAAAACGCGTTAAGCGCGAGTTACTGACACGATCTCCACGAAAATAATTTTTTAGGCCTTCTTTCCTTCACTAATTGTTCCTATCATCAAATATAAGCAAGAAGACCTGTGAAAGAGCATCAAAATGATCATAATTCACAATATTTACAATAAAATCGAAAATTAACATAATTACACTAAAACTAATAGATTTACTACTAAGATATCAAGGAAACCTTTTGAAAGGGCCATAAAATATAGTCAAAAATATGCACAATTTGACCCTTAACATGCAATTACAACCGTATAAAAGCGTTGGTAAAATCTCAACCCTTAAATTTATACTATTGGATTTTTAGCAGATCCACTGAAAATTCGGTATATGAAAAATGATTTTGAAAAAAACCAATACTCTTAAACTATCGATTTTTCAACATTTAACAAAATTACCGCTAACGATAGGTACCTTTTAAAAATCGCGTTTGTTTCACCACATACCAGTTTTTTGAAATATTAGTCATACTAGATTTTCTTTATAAAACCTATCAATTTTTTTTTTTAATTATACTGAATATTTTATTTGTTCTATTGAATTTTGAGTTTAATTAATATATATTATCAGTGTAAAATAATTTTACACTCTCATTTAATAAAAAATTATTAATCAATCATGTCATACTGTTAAATTAAAAATTATATTTTGATATAGCGAGATACACGAAGATGATTAGTTGACGGTTACTCTGTCCTGCCTATAATAAAATTCTTGAATTTTTAGTTTCAACTTATTAAACAAAATTTCAGTTCCATTTCAGAGAATTGTTTATATTTAATAAGATTAGTTACTTGCTGTGAAAGATAAAAATTGACATAGACTTGGTAGGTAGAACGCGTAAAGTAGTGTAAAAGTAAACAAGGAAACAGTTTTAGTAAGTTGCCATAAAAAAGAAAAGAAAAAGCGGTAGAGGTTGTTGTCTTTTTCAATCTGTGGAGGCCATAAATAATTATTGTCCACCATCTTCATCATTCATTCATTCACCACTCAACACTCTCTCAACTCTCAAGTCAAGTCAACTCAACTATTTTTTCTTTCTTCTTCCTCAACACCATTCACTCATGGCTGCCAGAGATATCCTCCATAAGATGAAGGTATATATTTCAACAGATCCTTCATTTCACTTTCTTTATTGTTATTATTATCCAATTCAATGTTCCAATATTATATGCTGAGATATTCATTTGTTGTTACCAATATTCATCAATTTCATTCAATGGACTTTTTTTAATGGCTTATTTAATAACCCTGTTAGTTTTCTTGTGTAGTTTTTTGTGTTTGCTCTTCCCTAATTCACTTTGACTTGTGTTTGACTAAAGGTGATCCTTTCAACTAGCCCCGATCTGTAGAGAAATTTATCAAAAAAATTGTTATGTATTGTTTTTGTGTAAGAAAATTATACTATACTAGATTATGTTAGTGTGAATTGTTCAAAGCGAAGGTTTTGGTTAGAGCCTTTGAAGCATTGGCAACCCAAATATGACACTGACATCGACATGACAACACTGATAATAATTTGAAAAGTGAATAAATTAAAGGTAATCACAAGTGCCACTGTAGTTGTTGGTACGACACTGACATAGACACGCCATTTTTTAGAGGTGTCGGTGCTACATATTTTAGAGCTAACTAGGTTTCACTATCTATATATTGGCTTTTGAATCCATATTTGAAGTTTTGTTATCATCTTCATGAGGGTTATTGTCTCTTGCTAGCTTGTATCATCACCAGTTTGTATTGTAGGCTTCTGTTGTGTAACAAAATTACAAAACAATGATGTTATCAAGAATTTTACTGAAGTTGTATCTGTTGTTGGTTGTTACAACCCTAGTAGTTTCAATGTGCGGACATTTTCTGCGAGTGTCTGAGTCGTACTTCCCTCTTACACACCGTGTATGTTTATTTCTGACTACTTTATAAGCTAATGGTTATGATTATGGCCTCTATTAGCAGATAGAAATTTGCAAATCGTTCTGTCTACTTTCCCTCGCTTTGTATTCTAGTCAATTTTGTGACTGTCATTTGACATTAACACGCGTTGGTTGCAGGAAAAAGTCGGGTTTGGTTTATCAGACCCTGATTCAGGGAAAGGCAAGAGCAAGATGTCAAAACACATAACTCACGGCTTTCACTTGGTAAAGGGAAAATCATATCATGAAATGGAGGATTATCTTGTTGCCAGATTTAAGCAAATCGATAACCATGAATTAGGCTTGTTTGCAATATTCGATGGCCATGCTGGTCACAATGTACCTAACTACTTGCAGTCTCATTTGTTCGATAATATCTTAAAAGAGGTAACTTCCCCTTTCTGGTTACTTCTTAACTTCTGTACTGCTTTCCGTGATTCTTAAACTGTAGTCGAGTTTTCAGACAGATCTGCTTGCAGATTCTCGAAAAATCAACTTGAACAATTCATAACGTTAATTCAAGTCGCATGAATGAATATGGTTTCCATCTGTAGTACAAGTCCAACCGTCCTTTTTTTCCCATGTAGCCTGACTTCTGGAGAGAACCTGAAGATGCTGTCAAGAGAGCGTATAGTATAACCGATTCTAGTATTTTAGAGAAGTCAGGTGAATTGGGTAGAGGGGGTTCAACCGCGGTTACTGCAATATTGATTAACGGTCAGAAGTTAATAGTTGCCAATATTGGAGACTCTCGGGCTGTCTTATCAAAGAAAGGCGTGGCCAAACAACTGTCGGTCGATCATGAACCAACCACAGAACACGAGGATATCAAAAATAGAGGTGGTTTTGTATCAAGATTTCCAGGTATGATATATTTTATCTAATTGGAATGAGTGAATCGATAAATTAGTACTCGAAATCGTATGCATCTGTTAAAATCGTCTATCATTTTTGTGTGGTGACAAATACATCCCAGAAATTGTAAAATATCATTCAAAATGGTCCCTCCGTTAACTTATGACGCATGGACTATGACACAACAAGTTAATTAAACATGATACATTGCATGTTGATCCCACATTAATGTCATCCCGCATTAAGGCCATGTATGAGACATTTTTCATTAATTGCAATTGTGTAGGAATGGATTAATGACATGTGACATTGCTGTGAGATCAATGTAGAGGGCATATTCAGTTAATGTGTCACATCATCAATGTGAGATCAATGCATACCGTTTCAAGGGCCAGTTTGTATATTTACTTTACTAAATTTTTTGCATCGATCATGTGGCTATGGCATTTGCCGCTAAGTGAACTTGTGATCTTCAATACATTTCTGATCTAGACGAGTTACTTAGAAAAAGTTCATTTAGAGCAGTATAGAATCCCTTTTCAGCACTAAGGACACATATTCTGTCATCAATTCAGGTGATGTTCCGCGAGTTGATGGACGGTTGGCAGTGTCTAGAGCATTTGGTGACAAAAGCTTGAAGAAACATTTGAGTTCAGAGCCATACGTGACAGTGGAGAAGATAAATGATGATGCAGAATTTATCATATTAGCCAGTGATGGATTATGGAAGGTCAGTCTTTGATCAATGAAGCACGAAGCTTATTTAACCAGTATTTAAATATGTTTATTGGTATATAATTCCAGGTAATGTCGAATCAAGAAGCGGTTAATTGTATCAAAGATATAAAGGATGCCCGGTCTTCAGCAAAGCGCCTCACTGAGGAAGCGGTTAACAGGAAAAGCAGCGACGATATCTCGTGCATTGTTGTGAAACTTCAGTGATCATAATTCACAAGAGACTTCAAGTAAAGTTTGATTAATAAACATGCAAGTGTAATATATATATATACTGTAATAATTATTAAGCTTAATTGCCATAAGATTGTGTTGTTTTGCTGAGTCCTACATACAATGAAAAAGATGTAAACTACATTTTAATTTGTGTGATATTAGGAAGTTTGGTCAATATCAATGATCTTTGGAAGATCATTTGCAGATACTTGACCATTAAGTTTGGTCAATATCAATGATCTATGTGAAGAACTATACATAAATTTCTTGTTATAAAGAAAAAATTTCAGAACAAGCTGGGAATTACCATTGACAACATCCTTTGAAAATTGGAAGGAAGGTGATATAGTTTTGTAGATATCAACTATAAACATGCTTGAACAAAAGGGTAATGTTTGTCGCCATTTTATCTACTCTTGTGCAATAGATCCATTTTATCTACACCAAAATAATTCAAGGGGAAATAAATTTTTTCATTTTTATTAAACTTCTATATTTAATTATTTTAATTCATTATTTTCACAAAGAAGTTCTTTTTCCTTGAACATTTTATTTAATAATAAATTTTCTTCTATGAGCGTCAAGTATAAAGATATTATTTATAAATCTTTATTTTAAAAAATTCAATGGAAAAAATTTCTGAGTTTTGAAAACTAAAATTTGTAAAGGTAAAGACTTCGTTCATGGTAGTTTTCTGTTTCAAATTTTCAAGACTAAAAGACTTCGTTCATGGTAGTTTTCTGTTTCAAATTTTCAAGACTACTATCAGTTATCATCCGTTATCAGTTTTAGTTGAGTTATAAAACTTTTGAACACTAAAATAACAATGATAAAAATAAAAATAAATATTAATGTAAACATATCTTAATCTAAACAAATAATACTTTATAAAATAATCAAAATATTATAAATTCATATAATAGATTTTTTAGTAGTAATTTTTAAAATAATCGTTAAATATTGTGATTGTCGACTGATGCATGTCATAATGGATGTAGTCGATGGTGGTAAGATTGGTGTTGGTGGTTACAATAGTTGGAGTGATAGTCGGTGGTGGGGACATATGGTAAGATTCATGACCGAAGGTGGATGAAATGATGATCAATGGAGATTATAGTGGTGGTTGATAGCGGTGAACGTGGTGGTTGATGGTGGTCAACATGGTCATTGATGTGGTTAATGCTGGTCGTTGGTGGTGGTCGACAATAGTCATATGTGATGGTCGGTGGTCAGAATGGTGGTTGAAGTAATGGTTGGAGTGATGGTAAAAGGTGGTTGATAGTGATAATTGGTAGTCATAATAGTGGTTGGAATAGTGATCGACGATCGTGGTGTCTTACCTTTAAAATAAAAATAGGTATTTAAATAATTTTTTTTTGGTTGAGTTTTAATCAAAAAGTGTTTTAAAATAAAATAAAAAATAAAATTGACTTCAATTTTGTTGAGCATGTTTTGATTTTAAAAGTTCATATATTAATTTATATTTTAACACATAATAAAATAGTATTAGTAATCAATCATTAACAAATTACAATAGTTTAGAAGGCATAATTGATGATGACAAATAGACCTTACTTCTTAATTTATCATCGAGAAGAAAGGCCAACTAAGAATAATCCACCTTTCTCTTAAAATCGAAGCCTAAGAAAGGACTAAGAAAATGATATCATTGGTCAACAAACGTCTGTCGCTACGCGAAAAATCACAGAGTCACCATCAAACTTTATTTATTCGAAAGGGAAGGGGAAACATCAAGAAAATCCTAAAAGGAAGGATAAGATGGTCTTGCAACCAAATGATGATTTCAGAAGCCGGTTATACAAGGGGAAGGTATTAACACCCCTCACATCCATCGTACTCGATGGAAACCATTCATTTGTCTTATGCGTAAGGATGTTGGTATCATGCTTTCTATGAATGTTTTATTAAGAGAAAAAAAGGTTTTAAATTAGTGTGTTCGCCAAGGATTGGGGCCTCCGTGCCTACATATCTCCATTGAATGAAGAATCAGAGCCTCTGTAGTTCAGAGAACTAGGGGTGGAAAAGAAGGAAGGTTGTCAAACAAGGAAGCTCGCCAAGGATTAGAGCCCTTGTGCCTACGTATCTTTATTTGGACGAAAATGAAGAATCAAAGCGTCAGTAGTTCGTGGAACTAAATAATTGTGGGTTTGTTGTTTTTAGTAGGCGATGTTAACGTGCGCATCCTAGAAATAGGTTTTTCCACTCACATGTAAGGATACTTATGATTTAGCTTGTGTTGCGATAGAATGGAAATAACGTTCCCTTTTTGAAAAAGGTTATGATTTGCGTCATCGAGGCAAGATGTCACGTTTGATTGGTGATGTTGTTTTTTAGGGGTGAAATAAGTCCTCAGATAGGAACCCCTGCAGGTAGTACCCAATTCTTTATCTCAAAAGATTTGTTTGGAGAAAATGTGTGACGAGTATAGTCATGTTTTCGTATTGAAAGACGAGTATCAAGACCACACACTATAAAGTGAGCATCCCAATGCTTTGGAAGGTAAGTGTTTAGATAGTGAACCCTAAAGGTAATGTCAAACACTCGAGATAGAACAAGACATTCGCCTAACCATTCCACGACCGTTCCAAGTTTATTTAGAGAAAAGAGTTTGAAAATTAACTTGGTACAAAGACCAAGGTTTTAATCTTAATGAAGAATGAGTGGTGATGAAGGAAGTAGAATGAATTGAAAGGGTGATGGATTGAGTTGGGGGTAGGTTGATGGCGATGTGCAAGACGATCGACTTACAAGAGTAGTACATGCAAGACTTGCTTGTTATTCATGGAAGGGTGTAGGAAAGTCCTAATATGAAGTGAGAGAAACAATTCAATTAATAAGTTTGAAAATGACTCGATGTTGGATCGAGATTTATTTTTCCCTTTGTTTTTGAAATTGTTTTCTAAAGCTTTCATTTTTTTAAAATCTTTTTTAACATACAAACATGCAATCATACAATAATCAAAACGGTAAATCTACATTATTACATATCCATGGGGAGGGGGAAGCATGAGGAACCCACCAAAGGGAGAAACCTAAGTTAAGCCATAAAGGAAATACATGGAAAGACCCATAAAAGTACAACAAAACGATTAAAGCCCAAATATCCTAATGTGGTAAATCCTTCAAGTGTTACCTCACAAAACAAAATAAAAATGTTAACAAGATATAATCATGAATGATGTATGGAGATTATGTACATGATATGAATCCAAATATGGCATAAAATCAATTAAGTAATGGCACAAAAATTCAACCAACTAAAATCATGGAATTATTAACAAAATAGTCACAAAAAAATCTACAAATATTACATTGAAATTCTACACAAAATGTCATATAAAAAATTCTACAATTATCATATTGAAAATCTATGCAATATGTCATCACAAAAGTTCTACAATTATAACCGCAAAATTAAACTAACAAAACAAAAATTCTACAAGAATGTCACTAAATTCCACGAAATGTATTATTATATTAAAAAAACTCTAGAAGAAAATTGTTATAAAGTTCAACAAAATTTGAGAAAAATAATCATGAAGTTCTAATCATGTAATAATCATGAGAATTACTCAAAACAAAATGGTAGAGAAATTAAAACGTAGGAAGAAGAGTAAAAGAGACAGAGGGGGTGTATAGGACTCCATATGAGTGTGGAAGCAAAAACAATGGCCCAAGAGGCCACTGAGCCCATAGTTGTGATTGTGATTTTTTAGAGAGAGTATAGAGGTCGTAGGGAGTGATTTTGTGGGCTTGAGGCCCATTGAGTCAAAACACATGTTGCCAAGGTATAGAGTGGTTCCAAACACATTGACTTCACTCAGGGTCTGTTTGGTTGAGGGTAAAGGGAGGAGAGGGGAGGGAATATTTAATAATTTATGTGTTTGGTTCAAATTTTAAGAGGGGGGGGGGGGGGGAGGTAGATGGAGGGGACCAAAATCCCTCCTGAACCATTTTTTGCTTCCCCTCGATTTGGAGGGGAGGGGAGGTGTTTGATTTTAATTATAATTATGTTTACATATTTACCATTATTATTTATTTAAATATAAATTTAACTTATAATAATGTTAAAAGTTTTCTTTTGAACAAATTAAATCTTTCTTTTTATAACAGGAAAGGAGGCACACCTAGAATCATGATTCAATTAGATATGCAAAAAGCTTATGATATGATTAATTGGAAGGCTTTAGAGTGCATCATGAAGGAGATGGGATTCCCTAACAAATTCATTCGTTGGATTATGCTGGGCATCACCACTGTATCTTATAGATTTAACATCATGGGAGAGTACACTGATATTCTGCAGGCCAAAAGGGGAATTCGTTAGGGTGATCCTTTATCACCTATGCTATTTGTTCTCATGATGGAGTATATGAACAGATTGTTGATGAAAATGCAAAGAGACCTTAATTTTAACTACCATGCCAAATGCGAAAAGTTGAAAATCACCAACCTTACCTTTGCTGATGATGTTCTATTATTCTGCAGAGGTGATGAGATCTCTTTACATATGATTCTTCAAACTTTCAAGGCCTTCTCCATGTCCATGGGGTTAATTATGAATCCTAACAAATGCAGGATTTATTTTGGAGGTCTAGACAAAGAGAAGAGAAAGGTTCTGAAAGTGATGTCTGGTTTCCAAGAAGGTACGCTTCCATTCCGATATCTCGGTATACCTCTGGTTGGCAGGAAACTAAACATCACTCATTTTATGCCCTTGGTGGATAGAATAGTGGCTAGAATCCACCATTGGTCTTCAAAGCTTTTAAGTTTTGCCGGCAGAATTCAATTGGTGAAAAGTATAACAACTGCAATGGTTCAATATTGGCTGCACTATCTTCCTATGCCCAAAACCGTGATCAAGAAGATTGACTCCATCTGTCGCAGTTTCATCTGGACCGGAAAAGATACAGTGAGCAGAAAGTGTCTTGTGGCTTGGAAACACATGAGCTGTCCTACTGCTCAAGGTG